ATACAGTATGTATGGAATAAAGGAAGTAGTTATCAGGTAGAGTTGACTTAGAGTGGAAAAAAGGGTACTTTTCCGTTATACCCCCGGAATTCTCATAACCTTTCCGTTATATAATAAATTATACAATAATTATAATATATAATATATAAATTATATAATAATAGACTTATGTGCAGAGCAATTATATATATATAAACACTCCGGCTCAAATGTTTGGGGTTATAGTTTATTTTAATTTCTTTGCTACTCACCAGTTTCGTGCATAATCAAAGGTTACATTTTGCGCCTTCCTGAAAAAGAAAAATTACGTCAAACTAAAGGATACATTTCGAGGAAGGACATCTTCCATGTTCTTCATGGAAGTGGGAGGGCTCGTGCACCACAGCCTTTAAGACAGGCTACCATTTCTGAAACCACATGTCAGACCAATCTGAAACATCACTTTCGTCAACGAAGTGAAAGCTATGGTTAGAAAAGAGAACCTTCTAACCCACAAAAGTTCAAAAGCTACGAAGCTAACTATCGTTGAATGTTTTAATGATGGCGAAGAGACTGGAATAATACCAATTCCATTTGATCCCATACCTATTAAATTCTCCTATGCAGTTCCAATATATCTATTTTTTGTCTTTGATTTGCTTAAATGTGGTCTTGGAAAACGACTTCCACGTGCGGTGGAAAGTTTGCCCAAGACTGGTCTCATCACCCTTTGTATAATCTTATTACAATGAAAACTGTGGTGTTGGGCATTAGTGTGTAATCATGGTCAATACACCTAGTGTGATAGACGATGGAAGATGTGTAGTGTGGGACCTAGAACATAATTTTTTAGAGGGAGCTTAGCCTCCTAGTGGTACAATGGAGTATGAAGGTTTATTTCGCTAAAAATTGGGTTTCGATACCCATAGTTGGTACATTGTGTAACTTTTTGCTTAATTTACAAGCAAACAAAAGTGAACCTAACTTTCAATATATAAGTTATGGAATTTTACGCTTAAATAGAGGTTTTAATATTTTATTCTCATTAATACTCTCAATTTCTGAATATTTCAAAACTACATGTTTTGTACTAATATAATTACCATGTATGAGGCAGTATTGTATATATTTATCACCCTTCCCTACATTTGTCGTGCAGTGAAATGTCAGAATTTTTCTTCACCTAAACATTATTAGGTAAAGATCTTGTTAAAAATTACAAGTTTTTAGCCGCGGCATAGTGGCTCATAGAACGGCTCTGAGTTGTTTTTTAAAGTAGAAACGTTTAGCTCATAATCCCGTCATCTCTTGACCGATTTTAGTTCTAATTACAGTTTTCAACTCAGGAGGTCAAACCCTTTCGATTAATGTATTTCAACACGCCCATAGTCTCATAGATTAATTTACTCTAATCCTGTCTAAAACAATTTCAATTTGAGGGTAGGCTGGTAGAAATCCTGATGAGCAATAAAATTAAATCCGGTATAGCTATAAGAATATAGCTAATTAAAAGAAGGGGGGGGGGTCTCGCAGACTCGTTTACTCTAATCCTGCCTAAAACAATTTCAATTTGAGGGTAGGCTGGTAGAAATCCTGATGGGCAATAAATTAATCCGGTATAGCTATAAAATTA